CAAAAATGTAATTAATTCAGAAAATCTTTTCAGGACCCCACCTTGATGTTTCAGGACCCCACTTTGGGTCCCGACCCCAACTTTGGGAAACACTGGTCTACATGATAATTTCTGAATTATTCTGCATTTTAACTAGTCAGCAATCCAATAAAGTCCATATTTACATGTTAATATCAGTAGATAATATATTTGACTACAGATAAAACCAATTATAAATAAGGTTAAACATGAATATTGAAGCTTTTTAATGTTAGCGTACAGGTTTTATGATTAAAATTAATTTTGGTTAAATATGTATAATATTTACCTGTGAAACAAAACCCTTTTAGCTCTTGTAAACTTGTAACAATTTCTGCAGTTTATAGCAAAGTATTTAAACCATTTATACGTTTATAAAGTTTGTTTGCACCGCTCTACGTTCTGCTCATTGATTTCAATGGTTAGCATTAGCATTAGCTGCTACGTTCGTCTCATTGATTTCATTGGTTAGCATTAGCTGCTACGTTTTGCTCATTGATTTCAATGTTAGCATTAGCATTAGCTGCTACTTTCTGCTCATTGATTTCAATGGTTAGCGTTAGCATTAGCTGCTACATTCTGCTGATTGATTTCAATGGTTAGCATTAGCATTAGCTCAATGCATAAAAATCCCCCCCCTGTGAAGCCGCGCCCAGGTCACGTGACACCCAGTCCAGTGTATATCACTGATCCAGATGTTTGACCTCTGATGTCTTGCGTCTGCAGGGAATTGTGCGTGAGGTGCGTCAGTCGGCTCAGCTGATGCTCAGCCAGCTKCTGCAGCAGCTGCGCACCAACTCGCAGCTGCCCGTGTGCCTGCGTGTCATCGGCTACCTGCGGCGGATGGACGTGTTCACGGAGGCGGAGCTTAGGGTGAAGTTCCTGCAGGCCCGCAGCACCTGGCTCGGCTCCGTCCTGGCGGCCATCCCYGACGACGACCCCTACTTCCACATCACCAAAACCATCGAGGCYTGCCGGGTCCACCTGTTCGACATCATCACGCAGTACAGAGCCATCTTCTCCGAYGACGAGCCGCTGCTGCCGCCCGCCGCCGACCGGGCGCCGCTCAACGAGGGCGCCATCTTCCACGGCTGGGTGGTGCAGAAGGTGGCGGAGTTCCTGGAGACGCTGGAGCGGGACCTGCAGCGTGGCGTGGGGGGCCGCCTGGACTCCCTGCTGGGACAGTGCATGTACTTCGGGCTGTCCTTCAGCAGGGTGGGGGCGGACTTCCGCGGGCAGCTGGCGCCCATGTTCCAGCGGGTGGCGTCGGCGACGTTCCGCAAGGCCGTCCGGGAGGCCGTGGAGAGGTTCCAGGAGGACATGAACCTGTACACACTGATCGCCCTTCCCACTGTGCTGGGGGGCACGATCCCTGTGGTGGCCCCCGGCGTCCAGCCTGGCACCCTGCAGCCCCCCATGTCCCTGTTGGACTTCCAGCCGCTCGCCTGCTTCCTCAACAACATCCTGAGTGCCTTCAACGACCTGCGGCTCTGCTGCCCTGTGGGACTGGCACAAGATGTCAGCCGGTGTCTGCAGGATGCCCTGAAGATGGTGAGGAAGACCTTTAGCCTGTTAGTCTGTTAGCCTGGCAGTCTGTTAACCTGGCAGTCTGTTAGCCTGGCAGTCTGTTAGCCTGGCAGTCTGTTAGCCTGGCAGTCTGTTAGCCTGGCAGTCTTGTAGCCTGGCAGTCTGGTAGCCTGTTAGCCTGGCAGTCTGATAGCCTGGCAGTTTGTTAGCCTGGCAGTTTGTTAGCCTGGCAGTTTGTTAGCCTGGCAGTCTGGTAGCCTGGCAGTCTGGTAGCCTGGCAGTCTGGTAGCCTGGCAGTCTGGTAGCCTGGCAGTCTGGTAGTCTGGTAGCCTGGCAGTTTGTTAGCCTGGCAGTTTGTTAGCCTGGCAGTTTGTTAGCCTGGCAGTTTGTTAGCCTGGCAGTCTGGTAGCCTGTTAGCCTGGCAGTCTGTTAGCCTGGCTGACTGTTAGCCTGTTAGCCTGTTAGCCTGTCAGATGTACGATGCAGCAGGAAGATGAGCTTGTTTTAGACATATTTTTGTTGAACCTGTATGGGTGTGATGTCGCTGTGTTTCTTTGTGTTTCTCATGGTTTTGTATCTTTACCAGGTGACCCGTCAGATCCTGGTGTTCCACCGGGCCGAGGAGTCGGCCTTTAGCAGTAAAGAGAAGGAGCTGTTTGTTCAGTTCTGCTCCTCGTACGCTGAAGACCTGCTGCCGTTCCTGAACCGCTGCCTGCAGGTTCTGTTCCCCCCGGCTCAGCTGGCGCTCATCCTGGGTGGGACTTCACTGCYTCCTCTTCTCATTTCTTTAGTTGTGCTGGATTTAACCCATGACCTGTCGTATTTTTTCAGTCAACAGGTGTTCTCCCTCCTGATTGGCTGCGATGTGATCATGTGACTCAGGTGTGCGTTCTCTCTGCAGGTGTTCCCGCCTCCCAGCTGCACCGGTACGGAGGCCTGGGCTGCATCGACGTTGCTGCGGTGCTGCAGCCCCTGGACTTTATTCTTCCTCCGAAGGAAGCCCCGCCCCCTCCGCCGGAGGTCGACGTCATGGCCGAGCTGGGCAGCCTCACCTTYGACCCGCACCTGGGAGATCCAGATCCTGCGTCCGCTCAGTCGGGTCCCACAGAACCAGAGCTGAAGCACGAAGACGAGGGACAGGAGGAAGAGTTGTCCGAGTGAAACCAGATCTTTGTSAGGTTCTGGAGATTTAAAGAATCCGTTTGGACTCAGGTGGTGGGAACAGAACTCTCTGGACTCGGGCAGTCCTGATGTGTGCCAGGACTGCAGAACTGGACATTTCTACACAGTTGAATGATTTCAAAGTCATTATTAAAGAGTTTTAATAGAATTAGTCAGAATTCTGTGGCTCTAATTGTCTCTCCTACACACTGTTCTTCAGGGTAAAAGAATAGGCTCCTCCCACTGGATAAACACGCAGACGACACATTGTTTTAAGACTTCGTTGTGTCGACTCTGATTCCCTCGAGTTTAAAAACCTTTTTATTCTAGATGAGGTCACAGTTTTAAAACATTTTTCTGTAAATCAGGGTTCCTACAGTTTAAGTTAAATTTAAGACTTTTTAATGCCAAGTGAAATCTTTTTTAAGACCAAATTCATAATAAACACAAATGACAAAAAAAAATTAAACTGTAACAGAAACTCATGAATCCAAATATTTTTGGTTGAAATATTAAAATATTGCTAATAGACCAATTGTTTTATCTATATCCATCCATCCATTTTCTTCCGCCTATCCGGGGTCGGGTCGCGGGGGCAGC